AATACTATCAATCAGGTATTATTAGTTGTTGCTAATTGTTGGCTAGTTGCCCGCTTTGATTTAATAAAATTAAAGCACACTTACTGATAAAGTTGAGTCTAAATAAGGCTTGCATTGATTCAATCGAGATTAAACAAACAATCGTAACATTTAAATGTGATGAAAATGTTTGTGATAACCAACAAGGAGTGAAACCCACAACCAACATCGTCAACAGTGCCTGGTGCCTGTGAAAAACCGAACACCAAACATTCACCGTCTAAATTTATTGAGCCATTCGCACAAGGTGATAACCATCGATCGTGTAGCTCAAGCGTAAGGTTTGATGTCCCAGCCCGAAGAATGGAGATTCCAGTCCTGACAGGGACACAAAAAGTACGCACAGCTGACGAGGCCCAAACAGGACGAAACAGCTGTCCAGTGCTCTTTGCTGGTTATCTCAAACATTTCCATCGCATGTAAATGTACTCATTGTTTCAAAAGTTCTAATAGTTCCACAGAACACACTGAGAACAAAAACAACGTGGTGTACCCGCTTGTTTTCAGATCTTCTTAATCATGCCATTACACAATAATAAATAGGACTAACAATCAGAACCAAAAGGGACTGAGGTATTCAAGTCCTAGTGGTTCAACTCTGGCTCCAAATGTGTGTGCCTGTGTGCTTTTGTGAAATTGACCGGTGTCAAAAGTTAAAGTGATCGCATGATTTTCTTCTGGGAGTATGAAGGGGTTGTGATCCAAATATTTATGGCTTCGGCGGTGTCTAAGATACGATGCTACGCTGTTCTTGATTGCCTACGTTGAGCTTTGCAAGTCTGTCAGAACGAGCGTACCACATACACTGAGTGATTTGACTCAGCGAGAGGGGAATACACTGCACTCGTAATTGTCTTAATTGTTGTTGTCCTCAGCCGGGTGGTGTTAGCGAGCGTGATCGGATGAGCGCCTGGTCGTACGGCCAATGTATCCAGTCCCACAGAAACAGGTAAATGAGTATACGCAGAATGAGGCTGCAGAATCTGGCACTCTGTTCTTCAGTCAGAAATGCATATTCGGTTTCGATGTGAAAACAGCTTTTAATTGTGCAGCGTGAAATGTTCTGCTTACTGCGCTTGAGAGCTTTCTTTGAAAAACTTCCGCCTCTGTATCTCGCTTGAACGGCAGATGCACATAGATAGACTTCTTACCTGCTCTTAGTTTCCTTGGCCGTTCCTCGTATTCCAGCATCGCCTTATCGATAAATCGTTCGGGGTAGCCATTCTGGGCAAAAACAGTACGTAAAAACTACAGTTCGTTGTCGATGATGTCTGCCTAGCATATTTTCTCAGCACTTTGAACAAAAGAAACAGTTAGATCTCTCTTTCTCCGAAGAAGGACAAAAATAAGGATAGGGATATACTGTCCATTTCACGTTGCTTTCCTGTGCACCGATAACTGGTCGGAGCTATCTGTGATGTGTCTTATGAGTATGTCTAGAAATGCTAGACTAGACCAGACCTTTTCTTTTTCCAGAGTTAAGTTTACGCTCGGATGGGCATTACTGAACTCTTCAAGTAACCGATTAGTGTCCACATTTGCATCTGCTATACATAAACATCAAAATATGGTCGGTATAGGGTACAAAGGTCGATGCAGGACTCAAGAGGATCGTTCTCAAGTTTGACCATAAAGGTGTCTGAGAATAATGGTCCCAAAAGTGACATGGATTGAATACCAATAACTATAAACGTGTTGGTCCTCCAGGCCGTCGTTGTACTCACTGTCTACTTTGAGTAAGACCGGATCAAATAGAATTACAAAGAGTGAAACTATTCACTGAGAAGCCATGCTGTGTTGACCTACATGAATTCGTTGCATTTTGTAGTAGTGGGAATTATTTTTACGAAAATGCTGTTATATTGTTTGCCCTCTGTTAGGAAGGAATCCTCTTCCTATGCACACGGGATTGAAAAAGGGTTTTGACACAGTGACCAGACTGCGACAGTGGAGCTCTTTGTTTATAAAAAGAAAGCTGGGATTGATTGCCATAGGTGATCTGTTTGGGTGGATATGTATTTGTTGGTGCATAACAGCATAAGAAGAGGAGTCATTTTACTTTCAATTTCCATCCACAAGGAAGGATCAGGTTTGAACACTCACTCAGTCTCTGTGAGATTGTATTCACGAAGAATTTTATCTTAGCGCATGAGCCTAAAGGTCTGGCATTACTGTTGCATGCTACTACGGACAGTAAACTGACACATTCTAGGCAAAGCGCTACTGAAACATAAGGGATTATGCAATAGATCGATCGCATGGAAGATTAGTTCCTGGCAAGACTACTAGATTCCAGCAGCCATATTTTTACTGAACTTTCTTACGTCTAAGTTGATTTATGGTACACTGTGTTTACTGGATTTTTGATTTCTGTGCCCCTCTCTGAAATAAATCAAAGGCAATTCAAGCCCGGAATTACATTCCCATTTTCAGGCACAAGAACATTCAAATCCAGGTGAGGTCTTCCGGCAGCGTCGTAGTTTTGCTGTATGTATCTGATATCGTTTTATGAGGTGATTTCATTTTCTTACGCTTAAACCAGAACAGCGTGCATATATTATAAAAGGGCCAATGACCCATTCTCGTTAGGATTTTCAGTCAATGCATATTTATCAAGCAAATGTTTGAGTTTACTGAAATTTTGAGTAAATGTGGCTTGTTTCAAACGAGTCTTCTAAATCTCACTCAATACCCCCTGACTGAGCTAGGAAGGACGAATTTGCATCCATATACCCTGGATTGCTTAGATGCTATCCTACGTTCCATGTGTGTATTGCTAATCCTATCCAACAATGATGAAACGGAAGTGCGATGTGTTCCAGGGTTTCTTGGTTTGTGTGGCACGCAACTGTGTGATCCATAAACCTCTAAACACTCAAGTTTCTTGATTGTAGAATAAAACTTTGGAATAGGCTGAAGCATTGGTGACTATATACCTGAAAGTATGTAAGACGACGGTATCTGAACTTTCATTTCGACTACTCGATCAACAACAAAAGGTTTGTGCATCTTAGTTTAATAACTGG